ATTTCTTTGTCTCTCAACATGTTCTTTGTCCTTGTTCTTGTTCTTGTTATTCGTCCTCTTCTTGTTCTTCTCCTTTTATTCTCTTCTTCTTCTTTTTCATTCCTTTCTCTTCATTTCTCCTTCTTCAAAATCAAATGCAAAACAAGGGGGAGAAAAAAACACACACGAAAAACTGGAAAGAAAAAAGAAAGAAAAGAGTAAGAAAACAAAAAGAAAAAACAAAACAAGAGAACGAGAAGGAGGAAAAGGATCCAGTAGGAGGGGAGGGGGGAAGGGGAAAGGGAGAGGGGGAGGGGAAAAGGATATCCCCCTTTGTGACGTCATACATGGTCTTCGAGACATGACTCATCGGATCCTCATGAAATACATGTCTGTGTGTGTGGGTTTACATGTGTGTATGTATGTGCAAAAGAAAAAAAAAACAAAAGACAAACAAACAAACAAAGATAGATAGATTAATAGATAGATGGATAAATAGACAAGTAGATAGATAGATAGATAGATAGATAGATAGAGAGAGAGAGAGAGAGAGAGAGTTAGATGGATAGATAGAAGAAGAAGAAGAAATAGAAAGAAAGAAAAATAGAAGAAAAAAACAGGCAACAAGAAAAAAAATAAGCCCGATACCGTAAAAAAAATAAAAATAAATTAAAATAGAAATAATACAAGAAAAGAAAGAAAGAAAGGATCGTAGGCAATAAAGAAAATTAAAAGAAAAGGAAATTCAAACAAAGAAGACAAGAATAAGGAAAACCCAGATTGCGTAAAAAGTAAAAAAAATAAACCAAATAACAACATAATGACTAAAAAAGTAAAACCTTGAAAATGCAGATAAAAGAAAACAAAGAGAGAGAGAGAAAAATACATAAGAAAACATAAACACTAAACAAAATAACAAAAAAAAACATTAATGAATAACGTTAATGATGTTAATAATAATAATAATAATAAAAACACACACTCATAAACAAATATACTATAACAAAACAAAACAAAACAGAAACGAAACAAAAACAAACAAAAAAAACAGAAAAAATACTAACAAATCCCCCCCCCCCAAAAAAGAGAGAGAGAGAGAGAGAGAGAGAGAGAGAGAGAGAGAGAGAGAGAGAGAGAGAGAGAGAGAGAGAGAGAGAGAGAGAGAGAGAGGAAGAGAGAAAAAGTAACAAAAAAAATAACAAAAACATCCCTGTTGGACAAACACCCAGGTCCGCTGTGGCAGTGACTCAACGGCGGAGTCACTAACCTGACTGCGCATGTGTGTACGTGTGTGTGTATATGTGTGTGTATATTTGTGTGTGTATGTGTATGTGTGTGAGTGTGTGTACGTGTGTGTGGGGGGGTTGTGTACGTGTGTGTGTGTTTGTGTACGTGTGTGTGTGTGTATGATTATGTGTATATTTGTGTGTGTATGTGAATGTGTGTGTGTGTGTACGTGTGGGGGGGGGGGGTTTGTGTACGTGTGTGTGTGTGTGTTTGTGTGTTTGTTTGTGTACGTGTGTATGTGTTTGTGTGTGTGTGTGCGTATGTGTGTGTATGTGTGTTAGAGAAATGTATATTTGTCCTAGTATATATGTATGCCTATGTGTAGATAAGTATCTATTCACCAGTATATATTTCCAACCTAGTGTGTGTATGTATATCTTAATATATATAACATTAATCCACAACCACTTTTATTCTTGCATGTAAGCATATGAGTGTAAGTATATATGCGCATATACAGTGTGTGTATGTGTATACGCATGCGTGCGTGTGTATGTATATGTGTGCATATGTGTACAAGAGTGTATGCATGTGTATACGTGTGTGTGTGTGCTATGAGTGTATGTATATGTGCGCATATAGGTGTACAAGAGTGTATGTATGTGTATAAGTGTGTGTATGTGCAAGAGTGTAAGTATATATGCGCATATATGTGTGCAAGAGTATGTGTATGTGTATACGTGTATGTATGTGCAAGAGTGTATGTATATATGCGCATATATGTGTACAAGAGTATATACGTGTGTGTGTGTACAAGAGTGTATGTATGTGTATACGTGTGTGTGTGTGTGTGTGTGCTATGAGTGTGTGTAACTGACCTGCAACTCTTACTCATAGCCGGTGATGTGAGTCCCAGGAATAATTGTGAGTAATTCAGGGGTTCCAGAAGAGGTGGATAAGGGGGTGGGGGAGAGGGGAGTAGGGGAGAGGGGGGTGGGGGTGGGGGGAGGGAGGGGGGGGGAGTTGGAGAGGAGGAGGAGGAGAGGAGAAGAGGAGGGGAGATGGAAGGGGGTGTGGGTAAGGAGGGAGGAGAGGATAGATAAATAGATAAAGTGAGATAGATAGATAGATAGATAGATAGAGAGGGAGATATGGAGAGATAGATTAATAGATAGATAGATAGATAGATAAAGAGAAAGAGAGAGAGAAAGAGAAAGAGAGAAAGAGAGAGAGAGAGAAAGAAAGAAAGAGAAAGAAAGAGAAAGAGAGAAAGAGAGAGAGAGAGAAAGAGAAA